GGAGATGGTGGCAGTACCAGTGAGACACCTCAGCCTCCTCGGAAGAAAAGGGCCCGGGTAGATCCTACTGTTGAAAATGAGGAAACATTCATGAACAGAGTTGAAGTTAAAGTAAAAATTCCTGAAGAGCTAAAACCATGGCTTGTTGATGACTGTGACTTAATTACCAGACAAAAACAGCTCTTTTATCTTCCTGCCAAGGAGAATGTGGATTCCATTCTAGAGGACTACGCAAATTATAAGAAATCTCATGGAAACACAGATAATAAGGAGTATAAGAATAAAAGAATACTTCAATGTAATGCTGGGCACTAAGCTACTCTACAAATTCGAGAGGCCACAGTATGCTGAAATTCTTGCAGATCACCCTGATGCTCCCATGTCCCAGGTGTATGGAGCATCGCATCTGCTGAGAGTATTTGTGTGAATTGGAGCAATGTTGGCCTATACACCTCTGGAAGAGAAGAGCCTTGCTTTATTACTGAATTATCTTCATGGCTTCCTAAAATACCTGGCAAAGAATTCTGCGACCTTGTTTAGTGCCAGTGATTATGAAGTGGCCCCTCCTGAGTACCATCAGAAAGCTGTGTGAGAGGCATTCGTGCTCACTATGTTTGGATCTCTGTAAACACATTTTTGTTCTTAGTCTTTCTCTTGTACAAACGATGTACTTTGAAGATGTTAGTGTATAACAGAATTGATGTTTGTTTTCTGTTTGATTTTCAACAGAGAAAATTCCTGAACAAAACCCGAAACCCCACAGGTCATAAGAGAGAAGATAGACAAGTGGAACCTTATTAAACTGACAAGCTTCTGCAAGGTCAAAGAAACCATCAAGAGAGCAGGGAGACAGCCTACAGACTGGGAAAAAATATTTGCCAACACCAGGTCTGACAAAGGCTTAACACCCTGGATCTACAAGGAACTAAAATGTGCTGAAAAGAAAAAAACAAACAACCACATTATCAAATGGGCAAAAGATATGAAGAGACACTTCACAAAAGAGGACATCCAAGCAGCCAACAAACACATGAAGAAATGTTCAACCTCACTAATCATCAGGGAGATGCAAATCAAAACCACACTGAGATACCACCTAACTCCAGTCAGAATGGCAATTATCTATTGTTTTTAAAAATATAAAGCCGGGCGCGGTGGTCAACCTGTAATCCCGCACCTTTGGGAGGCTGAGGTGAGTGGATTGCCTGAGCCCGCGGGTTTGAGACCCGCCTGGGCAGGCGAGACTTCATCTCTACAATAAATCAAAAAATTAGCTGGGTGTGGTAGTGCATACCTGTAATTCCGGCTACTCAGAAGGCTGAGGCGGAAGGATCGCTGGAGCCCAGCAGGTTGAGACTGCGGTGGCCAGGAGCGGCCACTGCACTCCAGTCTGGGTGACAGAGTGAGACTCCAACTCAAAAAATAATAATAATAAAAAAATTATATATATATATATATATGCAATCTAAAAATTGATTCTTGAAGAATTCTGTGTAGAGAAATATGGGAAAGGTCCCCTCTGACCTTTGTGGCTTGTGGTAGAAGACAAGAAATTCCAAGTTTAGCAGCAGATGCTACTTTTCAAATGGAATTTGGAACTTAAAGAGTGTGTTTTCTGTCAACCCACAAGTTATCCCCATCCAAAGCCCATGGAGAACTCCATTCTTCAAACAAATTATTTACTAAAAGAGGATCTTATGTAACGCTTACAAAGGAGAGGATTCTGTGTAGACACATTTATTTATTGGGATTACCATTTCTTGTTTTTAAAGGCAAAGTGTTGCAAAGAGGAATTCAGGAGGCCCCGATCATTGTATCTCTGGCTTCTTATTAGAATTAAAGTTCCGGAGATCCACCTCAGTCTTAATGATTCAGATTCTCAGATGGTGGAAATCTGAAATCTGTTTTTATAAACTAGCTGCATCCTATACATGTGGATGTATAAGAATCCGTGTTCTGAGGATAGAGAAATCTGTTGCTTTTAAAAAATCATGTGTGGGAAACTCCTCTTATTAAATGACACAGATTATTTCAAGGTGACTATTTTTATGAAACAATCCGATTCAATACAGCTCACATTTATTTACTAGGGACATGCAAAGTTCTTGAAATTCTGAGGACAACCTGAAGATGACTACAATGAGGTACTACTTAAAGTACTATATGAATCCCAGGGTGGGAGTGATTAATGTCATTTGGAAAGAATGGAGGTAAATTTCCCAGAGAACACCTTTGAGCTGAAAATGGAAATACAAGGTAGAATATAATAGAGGAAAGAAGTGAGATGCGTTCTGGGAGAGA